GAGCTGTGATTGGTTATTAAACACAGATCTGAGCTGTGATTGGTTATTAAACACTCCTGTTTGCCCCTCCAGCCGGCGCTGAGCCTGCTGATGAACTCGTTCACGCCTCCTCGCCATTTCGTTGGGTTTGCCGACGTCACTGTGACGGCTCAGCAGCTTTGTAATCATGTGACCTCCAGTCTGAATTAGTTTGAATCATTGTGTTGAAGCGAATTATTGACGATGGAGAGTCTCAGGATTTAAAACTTCTTCTTTCTGGTCACATGACGATTTCCTCTTCATTGGAGGTTTTTTCCTTTTTCATTTCTCAGCTTCTGATTTCAAAGCACAAACATGTGAAACTGCAGCTGTTTAATCCAGACTTTTAAAGCCTTTCTCCACATGCTTAACTTGACGCATATTTAACCTGTGCAGGTAAACACCGGGGCCAGCCACGCCCTCCTAGTGTAAACTGTAGGACAGAAGAAAGGGCGGCTGGGCGGCGGTCAGGACAAACACGACGAACACCAACCGAGCTTCTTCTCACATGACAAACGTCTCACTCGCTGCAGAGACAAACACAGCACTGGCTGTTTTAGGGACTTTTTTCAGCGGCGGATTAATACACGTTTAGTGCTTGAATGATAATAAACTACGGCTTATCTGAGCCGAGGATTCTGGGAAACGGCTGTCAGCTGTTTGGTTTGATAGTGAGACGGTTGTTTGGTTACTGCTGACCGCAGATGCTGAGTCATGACTTCTGGACTTTAGTCCAGCAGCTGCAGGTTGGAGTTTTCATGTTCTCGCTCCTCAGAGGAGGAACCCTGATCTGCTGACCTGAGAAACAGCAGAGATCTGTGATTTTAGTCAAATATGGACGCACAGGACGGACTGAGGCGCTGTCAGGGCTTCCTGCTCCTCACAGGAAGAGCTGTGACTCTGCAGGTTCCACCGTGTAGCAGGACTGTGTGAGGACGCAGCCTGATCACACCAGCAGCTCATCCTCAGGGCGCACACACACACACACACACACACACACACACACACACACACACTCACTCACTCACTCACTCACTCACTCACTCACTCACACACACACACACACACACAGTGCCCATGTTTGGACAGATGGGTACTGAGTGTGTGTCTGTACGTGTGTGTGTGTGTGTGTGTGTGTGTGTGTGTGTGTGTGTGTGTGTGTGTGTGTGTGAGTAAACATGGGGAACAGAGGATGATATGATGAAGGAGGGTGTGTTCACTCACGTGTCAACGGTCAAATCCAGCTTTAGTGGTTTAGGTTAGGCCCGCCTCCTCTGAAGGCCAACGCCCTCTTAAATCCCACCTGCTGGCTCCTGACTTGTACCTGTAGCACATGAATATGTGTGAGTGTGACAAAGTGGAGCTCAAACTGCAATGGCTGTTCCCTCACAGCAGGTCTCCGAGCGGCGCTCCGAGCGGCGCTTTTTCCTTTTGTGGCGCTGGCCTGAGTGTCTTTGTGATGGGATTAGGTTTGGAGTTTGTGTTTGTGGTTTTAGTAACACAGATAAATGCCGTCATGAAGTGTGACCTTTGACCTTCAGGTGTTCAATAACACAATAACACTGGTCAGCTCTCCCCCGTGTGGGTGACAGAGGGGATTAGAGAGGATTTAATAAGATTTATAATAAACCAGCCGTCCTTTTAACAACATACCAAACCGTGTTTGTGCTGCGTGTTGGCAGGAAGTCTGTTTAGCTTGGTCTGATAAATCAAGTCACAGTCATAATAATCTCCACGCCGCGCCGATGGAGGGGAGGGAACGCTGCTGGGCTCAGAGGTCAGTTTATCGTTCCTGACTGTCAGATTCCTGCTGAACCGTCAGAGTTAAAACCCAAACACGGCTCTACCCCCAACCCTAAGAAGCGAGCGAGCAGCCGCAGTAGCAGCCGGTCTTCATCGGTGGGCAGTGTGTGGTGTAACGCTGGTGTAAAATGGTTATCAATGCTCCGTGTTCGATGGTTACAGTTAGGTATGAGATGGTTTCTGTGAATCTGAAGCCGACATTTGATGGTTTGAGCTTCATATTAGGTTTGCAGTGGGTGTTGAACGAGCTGCTGGGCGAATATGATGTAAAAGCGTTTCTAGAATCAGTCTGTCAGGATCTAAATTTGGCCGAAATGGGTCTAAATTGGTGTTTAATGGTTTAAACGATGTTGTTGACTTTAATTGAGTTTCTTAAATAAAATAGAAGCTATTTCTGGCGTCTTCTGACCCCACCTTATATTTATCTTTATTCTGATAAGACTTTAAGTAAATCAAAGGAAAACACTGAACTTAACTGTGTGAGTGTGTGTGTGTGTGTGTGAGTTTATGTCTGTGTGTGTGTGTGTGTGAGTTTATGTCTGTGTGTGCGTGCGTGCGTGTGTGTGTGTGTGTGTGGTGCGTGGTGGTGGTGCGTGGTGGGGTGGTGGTGGTGTGGTGTGTGGTGGTGTGTGGTGTGTGGGTGTGTGCGTGGTGTGTGGTGTGTGGTGGTGTGTGTGTGTGGTGTGTGTGTGGTGGTGTGCGTGGTGTGTGTGTGTGTGTTGTGTGGTTTATGTCTGTGTGTGTGTGTGTGCGTTGTGTGTGTGGTGTGTGGTGTGGTGGTGGTGTGTGTGTGTGGTTTATGTCTGTGTGTGTGTGTGTGTCCTCGATGCGCTCGTGTAGATGGAGGGGATTAGCAGCGAGCAGGCAGCGAGTGATGAGCTGCGAGGGGAAGGCTCGCAGAGTGTAAACGAGCGTCTCCTTTCTCGCCTCCTCTGCTGCTCCACCTGTCGCTCTTCTTTGAGCAGCAGCTCGCAGTGATGCTTCAGACCAACGTGTCCAACTTTGTGTCAACGCTTCCTTTGGTCTTTTTCCTTTTTTCCATCCTGACAGTAAAAGCTTTCCAAAATCCACAGAAGCTGCACATTCCTGACATTTTTCCCATTTAATGGCAACAATGCTTCGGATCTGCATCTGGACCAGCCTCAAACCCACCCACTCATGCACGATCATGTGACGTGTGTGGCAAATTTTTTTCTTACATTAGTTCATGAGAAAATAGACGGAACAGCTCAAAGTCGCTGCCCAACCAAACTCCATTCACTTTTCTTCGGTTTTAGGGAAGCGGTGCAGAAGTCGTCCATACTGTCATCTTTAGCATCCACACATCTGACCACACGGTCACATGACCCACAGCCGGGTTTAACCCTGTGCGCTGTAGCACAGAAAGCGTTCAGTTACAGTCCAGATACTTGTTTATCTCTCAGGCTCACACATGTTACAGCTTTCTCTGAGAAATTACAGTGCAGGAATGTTTTGGCTGCTTCTGGGCTCGTGATAAGAAGACTTCATGCTTTTTATGACAGTTGATTTTACAGCTCACAGAATGAGATCAAGGACGAGCGGCGCGTTTCCCATCGCTTCTGCACGCAGATGTGAACGAGCGTCTGTCCGCAGCTCGGCCATGACCGAGCAGCTCTGATTGGCTCCGGCCTAAAGCTGCAAACATGCAGCTACTGTGGGTTTTTATGAGCTTGTGAGAAAACTAACAAAGAAGCAGAAACCTGCAGCTGATACCCTCAAAACACCTCACATCACCACAGCCGGGCAGAAGCAGCACGTCTGAGTTGAACTGCTCCTTTAAATAGAATAAGAGGTCAACAAAGCTACTTCTTTATCCGTTTTCAGCATCATGAATGAAAACATGGCTGCTCTCAGCGGCATGGACGCCACGCCATGCCAGCGTGGTTCTGCTCGAGTGCCCACAGAAACCCACAGAAGCCGTGCTTCAGCTCCACGCTGCCAGATTGGTCCCTTACGCTCTCACAGGATCTCTGTGCTTGTTTGAAGGCTGCAGTAGCTATTCTAAGAAACAATGAATGAACTTTTATTTCCTTATCTTCGTGGAGTGTCGACGATGATGCAAGCGAGACAATCGCCTCCGAATTGTCGCTTGAACTGTGTTAATGGACTCGCTCGAGTGCCGGCCGCCTCCGCATACGCACACGAGCCGCCCAGTCGCACCGTTCATCAGCTGACGTTCAGAAACTCCCAAATCGTGACTTTGACTTTCTGCACGGACGCCCACGGGCGACAGACATCGGGGAGAGAGCGGGAAAGGTGATGTGAGGCGCTTATGCAACACCGGCGTAACTGGTGCTGTTGGTGTGGAGGCTTCTAGGAGATACGAGATACAGTGTGTGTGTGTGTGTGTGTGTGTTTGCATGCTGGAGGAGGTTTTGTGTGTGTGCAGGAATTCAGCTATTCCCTGCAGAGATTGTGAGAACTTTAATGTCTCTGTGTGTGTGTGTGTGTGTGTGTGTGTGTCCTTCTCTTTCCTTCACATGATTGTAAACTGACTTTCACGGCTCTGTTTTCGTTTTTTTGCTCAAAGTCTGCTATCAAAATAAAATGGGAGCTTCCTCCAGGGAGCTGCTGAAGCCTTAAATGATTCAGCCAGTAAACGTCCCCACTCTGATCGCCTACATAGAAAACTATCTGCTCAGGAAGCCAGCAGCTGCTGCGTCAAAATGCAATATTTGACTTCCTGTTCAAACAGCTTGGCTGGCTGTGACCTGCAGAGGGAAACGCTTCGTTTGTTTTCAGACACGCTGCAGTAAATCCGCTCGTCCCGGGCTGCGGTATGACACCGAGCTCCTGGTGGGAACCATTAGCTGCTTTAAACGCTGCCTGACTCCGAAACCTCCGACCGCTGCTGCCGAGTCAGCAGGAAGAGTCCAATCAGCTGTGTGTAGCTCACATGTGTCTCACAGAGTCCTCAGTGTGTGTGTGTGTCCCTGCTGACGTGTTGTAAAATGTGTGCATGCTACAATTAGGACGGGTTCACGGCTGTGTGAGTGAAACAGTCCAAAAGGTCACTGCGCCCTCTACTGGTCATAGTCACATGACTCATGAAGTGACTGAGGTGACTGAGGTTGGGGTGGATGGACGGGTTGGTGTGTTTGAATGTAGGTGGTATGACAGTCTTTCTAACCGTCCGTCTCCATCTGTCTCCGTCTCAGGTGAGGTTCCGGGCACGGTGAACTTCGTCCTCTCCAAAGAAGGCGGCGACCTGTCTCTGGTGGAGCAGGCCAACGTCTGGCTCTTCCTCCGTTTAGCCAAGACCAACCGCAGCCGAGCCAAAGTCACCATCCGCCTCTTCCAGCAGCACCACCCGTCCGGCGGACGTCCATCTCTGCCGCAGGACGACACCCTCCTGTCAGAGAAGACGGTGGACACCCGCCGCAGCGGCTGGCACACCTTCCCGGTGTCGGCGGCCGTGCAGGCCCTGCTGCAGAGCGCCACAAGTACGACACTGAGCCTCAGGGTGTCCTGCCCGCTCTGCGCCGACACCGGCGCCACCATCGTCCTGGTCTCGGGCAGCGCTGAGACATCGCAGCGCAACAACCAGCGGGAGCAGTCCCACCGGCCCTTCCTCATGGCCGTGGTCCGGCAGGGAGACGGCAGCGACTCGCAGCGGCGCAGGAAGCGCGGGCTGGAGTGTGATGGGAAGGTGCGTGTCTGCTGCAAACGGCAGTTCTACGTCGACTTCAAAGATATTGGCTGGAACGACTGGATAATCGCTCCACGCGGTTATCACGCCAACTATTGCGAGGGCGAATGCCCCTCCCACGTGGCGAGCATCACCGGGTCCACGCTGTCCTTCCACTCCACTGTCATCAGCCACTACCGCATGAGAGGCTACAGCCCCTTCCAGAACGTGAAGTCGTGCTGCGTGCCAACCCGCCTACGAGCCATGTCCATGCTGTACTACAACGAGGAGCAGAAGATCATCAAGAAGGACGTCCAGAACATGATCGTGGAGGAGTGCGGCTGCTCGTAGACGCAGACCTGAGCGGGACAGGAGGAGCACCTCTGAACCCAGAGAGGGAGGAAGCTGACTCTAGGATCATCACGTCACTTTTATTGACTGTGTTTCATCCTTCGCCTCCTTCCGTCCCTCGAGGTCGCCCTCTGGGATAAAAACTCTGCTCCAGACTCGTCCAGCAGAACTCAGAGAGTCTCCACGGCACTTTCAGAAAAAGAGAAGAAAAAAAGCTCTAATATATTTTTGTTACAAACGGAGGAGCGAAGCTTATTTATGTGGCTGAGACGTTCAGGCACCGCTGAACCGACTTCGGAGAGACGAGGTGCCTGAAAAAAATGCGACAAAAGAAGAAAAAAATCTCAAAACTATGCAACTTGTTTCACGTTTTCAGACCTTATTGTATTTTATTTGTCTCCGTTTGTCGGCTCCCCAAATGTTTACTTTCTCAAAATGTTGGAGGAAGACAGAAGAAGACTCTTGTACTTTATTTAGAAGTGTGTGTGTGTGTGTGTGTGTGTGTGTGTGTGTGTGTGTGTGTGTGTGTGTGTGTGTGTGTGTGTGTTGAGAGATACTTGAAAGAAACAAGTTGGCTCGGCTGCTGGAACCAAACACTTCTTTATGTTATAATTATTATTGTCAGTAAGTATATTAATATTATTATTGTTGTTAATAATATATTGTGTTATCATGTCTCTTTTTTAAAAGAAGCGTTTCAAACGTGTTTATTTTTTGCACTATAGCGACACTCGTGTTCAGATTAGCCACAGACAGAGAGGACAGACCGGAGGGAGGTCACAGGTTTGAGCCCCACTAGTCTTGACAGAATACTTGAGCGTGTCATCAGTTGTGTCACTTCCTGGTTGCTGAGGCTTGAAGCTGGCGTCTAACGCTCACTGCCAGAGAATCCTGATTTTGCCAAAAGCAGGTGGCTGACTCGCGTTAGAATGTACCTTTGATTTCAGGATGTGGGTCTTGATGCTGTTTCACAATAAAAGTCTAGCAGGAAAGCTGCATCCCCTTCTGTTTGTTTCTGTCACTGCTTCTCAGTGAGCTGCTGCCCACGCCCAGCTCTCTGTACTCACAGCATGATCTGCTAGAGGGTGTGGGGGGGCCACAGCCCCGTCCTCCAGGGCATGAAGCAGGTATGGAGGAGATCAAAACTCCAGACATCCAGAGGCCCCCAGAACACAAGAGACCAAGGAAGACCAACAGAGGGGCAGCCGCGCCACTGTCCCAGAAAGAGCTGAGGAGAGTCCCAGATGAGGGCTCACTCAGCAGCCGCGGAGCAGAAGCCAGGGGGAGTTGCAGTGACGCGCCCGTGAGCTCCGCCGGCAGCCAGCTGCGCCTGAGTGATCGAGCCCCAGGCTCCAGGCCCCGATAAGCAGCCACCAAGGAGTGAGCCGGTGTGTACCTGGACGCCCATCCCCGGATACCAAGAACCACCAACGCACCGATGTCTGAGGGAGTCCGCCACTGGCAGGGGGAGTGGTGGGGGGAGATAGGCCTCCAGAAAAAACAGTTTCTAAATTTTTAACATGAACATGAGCTTCATGACAGGAAATCAGGAAAAGCAGAACGGTTCTAGATTTATAAAAGATTACTAAGCAAACGTTTGCTAACAGTAGATACACAATAGATGTCTCCAGAAAACGACGTTCTCCACTCACCTGCTGCTTTCTGACACTTAGCGGCAGGTCAGCTGTGGAGGCTTCTGATTGGCTAAATCTGCACGTGCCTGTTGCTATATAGCTGTGCTAGCCAACCAGTTAGCATGTACAGATTAATATGTTTATATGGAGCTAAGAACTTAAATAATCACACGGGGAACCTCCGGTCTGTCCGGTCAGAAGCTCCGAGGACTTCTGCTAAAGTGAAGCACTTAGAAAACGTGCTGGTCACACACTTTTGTGGGATCCACTTCCTGCGTTTGTAAAACAGGCTAGCTAAAGTTCTCTGTGATAGCTAGCCTACAGCTAACCCGCCTATCGAACCTCTGCAATCCACGTTCACGTCTTTGTCTGTGGTGAATGTTTACAGCATTAGCATCTCATCTTTCTCAATGAACTCAAAAACAAAGAGGCCTTTATGTCTTTATTAAAGTTACGTTGTGAGTTTTATGGGATTTTTCCACACAGGGGCTAAAATTAAAATTTTTTTTAGTTAAAATCTGGTAAAATTTTCGAAGTTTTTCTCCTATGAGACAAATCGCTGCATAAACACAGCATTAATCATATAAAATGTTGGTAACATGGCACTTTGGATACATGAAATGGGAATTTTCATATGAATCATAAAATTCAGTTGATTTGGTGAAAATTCAATTTTGACGGTGAAATTAAAGCTGTTAAAGTTGATATTTAATGTCTTAGTTTGCTTTAGGAGACCAAAGAGTCGAGTTTGTGTATCTGTTTGTTTTTAAATGAAAAGCAATGAATTTATGATCTGATTCAAAAGGATTTCACAGAAAAACACAGAAAATGATTCCTGCAGTTATTTTGTCCTGAGTGAGTTTTCATGTTTTTAGTTTCTCTGCTGTTGTTTCATCCTCTCGCTCTCTGCACATCAAGAACTCCACTTCCTACAATGCTGAACTGAAAAAAAAAAAGACAATCCACAGCCGTAAATTTAGTAGAAAACGCCGTCCAATCAGAGTCCGGCTGTTTCTGTGTCGTGTGTGTTTCTATCAGTATTGTCAATTTGTTCACCAAAAGTTTTGGAGTGTTTGTCGCCTTTTTGATGAAGTTACATGTTTTCACTTTTTGGATTTTTTTTGTTGTTATGATGGTTTCATGGAGGAGGGCGGAGCTTCCTCTTGTTCTTCTGGACTGTGGGACGACCTCGGAGTTGGTCCTGTGTACATGGACACAAACAAAACGTCAGTGCAGAAAAAAACTCAAAAAGAAGCAAAAAATAAAAAACAAACAAAACGTGGTTGTTATTTGTTCAAATTTTGTTTATATTGAAATGAAAAAAAAATACTGACACTGAACAAAGTGGACAAAGAATAAAAAGTCTATTTTTTATTCTGTATATATGGAAATCAGATTCCAGTATGTTGCATTGCTTTGTTGTACAAATCAAATGTGCTTGTGGCATTTTTCTAATCTAATTTATTTTATAGTATTTTTTGTTTTTCTGCTTCACCATTAAAGTTTAAAGGACGTACACAAGAGTCACGAGTCATCGTTTCTTTTCCTGTGAAACTGGACATGTTTAAAGCATCATGTCCTGTTTGACCTCTGACCTCTTCCTCAAAGTCACTAGATTGATCTGAAGTTTGCTGTTCAGAGCTGTTTCAAACTGGTTCTCGCTGCCATCGTTTGCATTGATGACACAGAGATATAACGTCAAGTATTGTCGCTTTAAAATACAGTTACCATGGTGACCCTCAGGTTTAAGGCTTCACTCTTGGACCACACTCCTTAAACCACACTCGTGCACGAGGAGGAGGCGCAGCGGGAACTGGCTTCCTCATCCAGAGGCAAAAATGCAGTCTGTGCTGAAGCTGCGATCCACGAGGACAGAGGTCAGAGGTCACCCTCCGCTGACCTGTGACTAGCCGCTGGGAGCCTGAGTGTTTGCTCTGCACTCTGAACTGAAAACAGTGAGTGGGAACAAGCTGAGAGGAAAGACACGAATCATGTGAGCATAAACACAGAGCGGGCCTGAACACCTGCAGCAAGTGTTACAGGTGGTGTCCAGAGTCATTTCCTGTCTTTGGTGGGACCAGTGTCAACGCTATAAAAAAGTAATGTTTTACACATATTATACAGAACATTACCTTCATGTGACTCTGTAAAATCATCTGTCTCATAATCACCATTTAACAACATAGACCTGAGGCTACAGCCCCTCAGCACAGATCCCTATCCTAATGAGGACACTGTGAGCTTCCTCTTAGTATTTAGGTTTGAACACAACCAACACAAAGAGGCTTTAAAGTGGTCGTCATGGTGATTCTACTGTATAAACAGGAACAGGTAGAAATGAGGCTGCAGCCTGACTGATCATCAGTTTGTTACCTGTTGAAGTTCAGGCTCTGGCTGCTGGGCCGAGGTCTGCACACGCTCAGCTTTAGCTCTGGGTTGTTGGATAGCTAGGTGTTAGCATGCTGTCTGTGCAGATGCTTGTGTTAGTTTGTCCTCTCCTAACACAAACTACAATCAGCTGATTGTAGCCCAAGTGTAGGCAAGAAAACTGACAATTCCAACTTACTGACCTACTGGGAACCAGTTCTTGTAGGAAATTTCTTCCCTACATGCTGCAGTGCAGGTGGTTTCCTCTGAATGTTTTCCCTCACACACCTCAGGACATCCCAGTGAACACACAGACCGTCTCATCCTGATCTGTTGCCACAGGCAGCTCTGATCAGCTGACGATGCTCCATGTGAAGCTCAGGTCACTTTGTGGATAGCAAACACTGAATCAGCTACTGGTCACGTCTTAAATCCCGCCTGGACGTTCTTGTTACACTTTCTCTTGTCTATGTATTGATTAGAGTGAAATGAATTAAACAGTAAATAGTTTTTCTTGAGTGACTCTTTCCATTATGACGCTGGCATCGCACCCAGAGCAGAGATAACTGTGAGAGTCTGAGGTGCTAAACTCCCCACAAAACTGCAAAAGGCTTAAAAGGGTTTGGTCTGCAGACAGACTGTGGAGCACAGCTGTGTGGACATTTCACCACTAACTGTATTAGCTGTCATGTCCTTTGCAGTAACCTTTATTTGCATCTCTCACTTTATAAAGATGCTCTGACTCCACCTCTGTTTGTCTGCATTCAGGTTTTGGTGTCGTAGTTTTGACGGGGGTCGGGGTGGCGGCCATCTTTGCAGAGGTTCATTAAACTTCAGTTTTTATTAACCCGAGGTCACTGCAGAGGTAGAGGGCACTGCAGAGGTAGAGGTCACTGCAGAGGTAGATTTCACTGCAGAGGTAGATGTCACTGCAGAGGTAGATTTCACTGCAGAGGTAGATTTCACTGCAGAGGTAGATGTCACTGCGGAGGTAGATGTCACTGCAGAGGTAGAGGTCACTGTAGAGGTAGAGGTCACTGCAGAGGTAGATTTCACTGCAGAGGTAGAGGTCACTGCAGAGGTAGATTTCACTGCAGAGGTAGAGGTCACTGCAGAGGTAGATGTCACTGCAGAGGTAGATTTCACTGCAGAGGTAGATTTCACTGCAGAGGTAGATTTCACTGCTAAGGTAGATGTCACTGCAGAGGCAGATTTCACTGCAGAGGTGGAGGTCACTGCAGAGGTAGATTTCACTGCAGAGGCAGATTTCACTGCAGAGGCAGATTTCACTGCAGAGGTAGATTTCACTGCAGAGGTAGAGGTCACTGCTGAGGTAGATGTCACTGCAGAGGCAGATTTCACTGCAGAGGTAGAGGTCACTGCAGAGGTAGATTTCACTGCAGAGGTAGATTTCACTGCAGAGGTAGAGGTCACTGCAGAGGTAGATTTCACTGCAGAGGCAGATTTCACTGCAGAGGTAGAGGTCACTGGTTTATTTATCCACTCACCTGAAGCCCCACCCCTCCCTCCTGAAGCTGAGCTAAAATCCACAGCTCCGCCCACAATGACATCACACAGCACCAGAGGTCATATCATTTAGTAGCCGAACTCTTTGATGCCACCTCGTTCACTTATATTTAACTTGTGTTCTTATGAGGCGGCGTCACGCTCTGTGATCTGCTGTGAAGTGTATATTTAGAGTTTACTGTCACATCTTCTGTTTCCACAGACGTGACTCACAACACGCCGTCGACCTTGGAGAGCCGGCATCAAAGCCAGACTCCGCTTGCAGCTTTCAAACAGCAGCACACAGGGCACCAGGAAACCCCAACAACCAGCAAAACACACAGTGTGTGTGTGTGTGTGTGTGTGTGTGTGTGTGTGTGTGTGTGTGTGTGTGTGTGTGTGTGTGTGTGTGAGAGGTAATGGACTGAGGTCTGTGTGCGTGCTGTTGTGAGGAGACACAAACAAAATGTCATTTAATGGAAGGAGAGTGTGTGCGTGCGCTTGTATTAGTCATGCTGTGGGGACGTAAATGTGTTTACACAGCAACACTGCGGGGACTCGGGTCCTTCTGGGGACGAAGAGTCCTAATCAGATAATTATTTGGTTTAAAGATGGCCGACCAATAAGAAGTTGTGGCT